TAAAGAATGTTCTTATGGAGTTCTGGGCTCTAAGGGACATATGAAGAGCTATGTCCAAGCACTTTGTGTGTGTGTGAGAGAGAGAGAATGAGAGAGAGCAAGAGAGAGAGAGAGAGTGAGAGAGCTAGCAAGTGCCAGCCTGATCAAAAATCAATAAAAAAACTCAACCCAAACTCACTGCCATCAAGTCAATTCTGACTCACAGTGACCCCTGTTGGGTTTCCAAGGCTGTAAATCTCTATGGAAGTAGATCACCTCATCTTTCTTGGAGCAGCTGGTGGGTTCAATTAACCACTACACCACCAGAGCTCCTTAACAATCACAATCCCACCAAAAAACCCTGCCATTGAGTCGATTCCAACTCATACCCATCCCCATTGGGTTTCCAAGGCAGTAAATCTTTATAGAAGTGGATTGCCCTGTCTTCCTTCCATCGAGCTGCTGGTGGGCTTGAACTGCCAATCTCTGGTTAGCAGTCAAATGCCTTAGGCACTGCACAAATGCTCAAAGAGAGGTGTGTGCAAGGTTAGAGTAACAGCAGCAGGCGTAGAAGGAAAATCTTTTGCTTTTTAGGATGATGCTGACAATACAAGAGCCAGTTGTTTTTTTAAAAAACCAAGTTTTTAGAAGAGCAGCTTCTGGAATAAAATACGATTAAGGTGTATGTATATTGCTACTTGAGTTATGTATTTAAATTAGCCTTCATCTCATTTAACAAATATTCCCAGCTTAAAAAAAATCACCTTTCACACAGATGGGGCTGAAAACCCCTGAACCCAGCATGTCCATAACTATACGTAGGAAGTTATGTCCAAACCCAAATTTCAAAATATTATGAAAACAAGCTCAGACAGATACACTTGGCTACATTAACACACTGTTTATTATGCAAATAATAAAGACTTTGATTGGACTCTGTCACTGTTAATCAAGAGCACAAAAGTTAAACTTGCAGTCTCATGTTTCTAAGTTTGAAGAATGCACTCTGGAAAGATGAAGGAAATGTTGGGTATTGTTGAACCCAGAAAACAAGCTTGAAATTCATGTGTTAAGAGTTCTGATCACAGTTCTCTTACCGCTCCTTTAATCATCCTGAAAACGTTTTATGAGGGGCTATCTATTAATAATCAACTAATTGAGAAAAAAAATTATAAAGATTAAGTGCACAAATACAAAACATGCAAAGCAGCAGAATCAAAACCTTCAAAGCCAGAATGCTGCTTTCAGGTACTTTAAGGTACTATATCATCTGCTGTGGTGGGTTGTGAAGCCAGTCCCTGTAGGAGCACTGGGCCTTTTACCTTATTTCTTCTTTTTCAGCTGCTTCCATGGTTCCCCAGTAGCTCCGGTAACTGGCTGCCGATTCTCAGGCCAAAGCGATCTCCTTAAAGCGCCAATTAGCCGTCTTTTTAAATTACAGCCAATACCACCAGTGAGTTTCTGGAAATGGAATCTCCCTTCAGGTCCTTGAGACGAATCCTGCCTCTTTCTTCTGAGGCTTCTAGGTTCTAACTAATGTTTCTAGTGGGCAATTTTTCAGTGGTTATGAGCAGTTGATGAGGAAATGTGCTTTCACTACGTTGTCTCAGAACTGAAACTGTGTTTGCAGAGGGGGCGTGGGCGAAATGAGTCCTAGCGGGTAAAAATCCAAGAGCGTGAGAACTAAGAGTAGCGTAAAGTACTGAAACAGCCTCCCATATTAAGGTGAAGCTTCTGCAGATTTTATTTAGGTGGTGATAATGCCACAGATAGAGGAAACTAACTCCCGTCCCGTTTTTAGTTTCGAGTGGGCGAGCGCCGGCCGGGTCACTGCTGGAAGCTGATGTTCTGCACCATAAATTCCAGGGCTAAAAGGGTCCTTTAAAGATCATCTATTACACCATCGAGTGCAGGAATAGCTTCTCCTCCACCTCTGCCAAATTTCAGTCTCTCCTTGAGCATTTCCGAAACTCACTTCTAGATTCCAATCAGGCAGCTAGACATGGCTTTCCCAGACCTCTGGCCATTAAGTCTGACTTAGAAGGGACAATGGGCTGAGGCAAGCGGGAGAGGAGAGACCTAAAAGCTGCACGGGTGCCTGCCTGGTACCCAAGCACTTCGAAAGCTGGAAGAAAGAAGAGAAGATTAAGGTCAGAGTGGCGATCGGACATCAACCTAACACGACAAGCTGACCAGCAAGACGATTTTGTCTCACGCGAAGCGATGACGACTGCCTGAGGGAGGGGCCACTGGGACACAAAACAAACAAGGGCCCGCAAGGTTTTGAAGCCCGGATGAACCCGCCCCCAAAGCGGAGCCGGAAGAGGGAGGAACGGACCGGAAGAAGGTGAAATGCTTTCGGTAGACCCTCCACGGTTGTGAAGATGGCGGCGGCTGCGTGGCTTCAGGTGTTGCCTGTCATTCTTCTTCTTCTGGGGACTCGCCCATCTCCATTGTCATTTTTCGGTATAGGACCGGAACCTGTAGCTGCTGCCGACCGATCGAAGTGGCACATTCCGATACCGTCGGTAAGTGTTCAGTTCAATAGTGAGTGAGCCTAGAGGAACAAGGGGTGGTGCTACGGTGGCCCAAGGGGTCCAGGAAGAGTCTATAAAAGTCCGCTTTCCAGAGCGATGGGGTTGCCGGGAGAGTCTGTGTCGCTGGCCAGCAGGGACCTACCTGTCTCCCTGGAGTTGAAAACAGCACGCTTCTTTGGGATACTAGCCGAAATGTCATGGCCACTTAACGAGTGGTGGAGCGGTTTCTTATCAGGAAAGTAAGCGAACTCTTACTGGCTGACTTGGGACTTGGAAACTTGATGTGTAGTGAAGAGAGTAGTTTCTCTTTTAGCTGAAGCTTCACAGACTCCACTGACTGCGGGTTTGATGAGACAGGTATGTAGGTAGGCATCTTTTCTGTTTGTTTGATTGGTTTTCTCTGCACTTTTTTGTTTCTGGTAATTCTGTGCACAAAACTTTGAGTTTTCTTTACACTTTCAAATGATTATTTTAAGCTTCCCTGTGTAATTCAGATGTCTAGACATCTTTTACATATATTTTAACATGGAAACGAGTAAAATGGAAGGAATAGCATTTAAAAACTTAATGTTGAAGGCTTGTATTTCTTTCGGACAATTTTCTAGCTAGATTAGGCCTCTGTCCCCTCACCGCTTTTTAAACTTCATTTGAATAAGAGGTAACAGTCCTGTGAGCAGACAAGAACCGGACGCAGGCAGAAAATGCTGAAAACCGTTAGTCCTATAAAAACGCGTTGGCCTTTTTGCATCATTCAGCTCTGCTCTTTGATTGAAATACCCAAATCTTGTTTGGACTTATATATGGCAAACTTTATTGGTTTTGTTCATTTGACGACGATCATTAGGTCCTTTTAGGTTTTTATCTTTTGTTATTAAAATGGTAAATAGTTAAGCCCTTTTAGATTTAAAAATAAAACTGGCTATCTGCCCATTTGAAAAAATGTTTGCTTATTCTAGGCAGGGATCAGTGAGTAAAGGAAATGAACCGATTAAGAGGTTTCAGCCATAAATATTTAAGCTAAATTGGTGTTTCTAGTATCCTTTCCTGGATACCGACCTGTGTGAAAAAATCTTGTCTGCTCCAAGGGGTAAAGTCCTGCAGTTTGGGTATGGTTGAATTTTACTAAAGGGAGAAATGCTGACATCTACTTTTTTTTTTGTTGTTGTTAAGAAAACAAATTTGGATACTTTATAACTTTAGGTTTTCATACCAGCTATATTCTCCCTTGGGAATTAAATGGTCTGATGCTAATTACCTTTCTCTGCTTTATCTTTGCAGGGGAAAAATTATTTTAGTTTTGGAAAGATCCTCTTTGGAAATACCACTATCTTCCTGAAATGTGAGCTTTTGAATTTCATGAAGTTTTTATACACGTTCTTGAGTAGTATTTTAAACTTTTAAGTTACTTATTTTCTGATTTTAATGGATTACTGTCAACTTTTTTGTTTTAATTCTTAAAATTTTACTTGTGAAATATATGTAACAAACCATTTCAACCATTTTTATGTATACAGTTCAGTGGGATTATGGCATTCACCATATCGTTCAACAATCACCACTATCCATTTCCAAAATTTTTCATCACCTTTAACAAAAACTCTGTACTGCTTAAACAACATCCCTTCTCCCCTGCATCTCTCCCTGGTATCCATCAAAACCCAAACCAAAACCAACCCACTGCCATCAAGTTGATTCCAACCCATTGCGACCCTATGGAACAGAGTAGAAGTACACCCTAAGAATTCCAAGGCTGTGAATCTTTATGCAAGCAGACTGCCACATCTTTCTGCCATGGAGCAGCTGGTAGTTTGAAACAGCCAACCTTTTGGTTGGCAGCTAAGTGCTTTAATCACTGTGCCATTGGGACTCCTTTACTCATGTCAAGTATGACCTTCAGTGTATCTGCATTAGCCTCTTCTGGATATTTCATAAAAGTGGGATCATACAAAATTTGTCCTTTTGTGTCTGACTTCACTCACCATACTGTTTTCAAGGTTCATCAGCATCCCAGCATGTATCAGCACTTCATTTCTCTTTATGGCTGAATAATATTCCATTGTATATATGCACTAGCAGTCCTGGGGTTACAAATGCCCAACATAGGTACAACCTGTAGTTATGAAACAACTTCTATAAAGCCTATTAAAAATTCAAGGTACATACAATTCATAATTACAAATGGATGCTGCTTTATGATACACACCGAAACATTATTATTATTATTGTGTTACTTGCTCGGTAAAGTAGTGGGTCAGCAAAAAAGAGAGAAAGACTCTCAAGAAGGTGGATTGACACAGTGGTTGCAATGATAGGCTCAAACAGAGCACAGTTGTGAGGCTGCCGTAATGGCTACAATATTGGGTTCAGACATAGCAACAATTGTGAGACTGGTGCAGGACTGGGCATTTGTTCTGTTGTACATAGGGTCTCTATGACTCGAGCACCTACCAACAACAATTGTACTATTATGTTAAAGATGTTTTAAGTATCTGGAAATGTTTCTTTAATGGTTTTTTATTTATAGAAAGGTACACTATATGCCATAAGCTATATTTTTACACAAATAATGTGCACATTATGTGTTGTTTTTTGTTTTGTTTTTGCAAACAGCAACCCCCTTCTACATCAGTTTCCTATGTGTATATGTACATGGGTGCATATTTACATGGGCATATTACATGTGAAAAATATGGTACTAAGGCAGACATTTGACTAACTGAGGTTAGATATGAATAGATTTAGGAATGAGCTCATTCATAGTCCAGAGACTGCCAGAACTACATTTTGTTTATTCACTCACTTGTTGATGGATGCTTGAGTTGTTTCTTCCTTTTAGCTATTATGAGTGGTGCTGCGGTGAACATTGCTATACAAGTGTATTTGTGTTCCTGCTTTCAGTTCTTTTGGATATATATCTAGGAGTGGAATTGCTGCATCTTAAGGTAGTTCTGAGGAGTTCTGGTAGTATAGTGGTTAAAGCATTGGACTGCTAACCAAAAGGTAGGCAGTTTGAACCCACTAGCTGCTCCATGAGAGAAAGATGAGGCAGTCTGCTTCCATAAAGATTTACAGCCTTGAATGCTATGCAGTACTAAAGAATAATGTATAGTCTGCAAACCGTCACATAATATGGATGAACTTGGAGGACATTATGCTGAGTGAAGTAAGTCAATCACAGGACAAATACAGTATTAGTTCTTTATTGTGGAGAGTCAAGGAAAGGTTTATATATGGAGGGAAACTTTCTTTGTTGGTTGCGAGGGGTGGGAGGGAAGGAAAGGGAACACTGAAAAAAAAAATGCATTGACCCATCTCACTTGAGTTTTGTGTATTTCACTGTACATAAATTATATCTCAGTAAAATGAAATTAAAAAAGATTTATAGCCTTAGAAACCCTATGGGGCAGTTTTACTCTGTTCTCTACAGTTGCTCTGAGTAAGAATCGATTTGGTGGAGTGGGTGGGTCAGGTAGTTCTATGTTTAACTTTTTCAGATACTGGCAATCTGTTTTCCATAGTGTCTGCATCATTTTACAATCCCACCAGTAGTGGATGAGGGTTCCAATTCTTCCCATCCTCTCCAATAGTTGTTGTTTTGTTTCTTTCTGATAATAGCCATCATAATGGGGGTGAAATGATAGCTCTTTGTGATTTTGATGTGCATTTCCCTAATGACTAATAACTTTGAACATTTTTTCTTGCATTTATTGACCATTTGTATGTCATCTTTGGTGAAATGTCTCTTCAAGTCCTTTGCTCATTTTTGATTGGGTTGTTTGTCTTTGTGTTGTTGAATTGTATTTTTTTCAAAAAACATATTCTGGATGTTAAACTCTTATCAGATACATGGTCCCCAGAGAGTTCTCCCAATCTGTAGATTGCCTCTTTGCTGATAAAGTCTTTTGAGGCACAGAAGTTTCTAATTCTGATGAAATCCCATCTGTCCTGTTTTTGTTGCTTGTGTTTTTGGTATCATAACCATGATTACATTATTGAAAATTGAGTCTTAAACCATTGCTCCTCGACGGCATATAACAACTAACAACAAAAAGAATTTTATAGTTTCAGTTCTTACATTTAGGTCTTAATCTGTTTTGAATTAATTTTTGTATGTGGTATGAGTTATGAGTCTAACTTCATTCTTTCACAGGTGGAAATCCAGTTTTTCCAATACCATTTAATGAAGACTATTCTTTCCCCATTGGAAGGATTTAGCATCCTTGTTGAAAATCATTTCATCATAGATGTATGGATTTATTTCTAAACTCTCAAATTCTTTTCCATTGGTCAGTGTGTCTTCTATTACACAAAAAAAGCACTGCTGTCCAGTCTGACTCATAGCGACCCCTCCTTGGGTTTCCGAAGTGGTATTACTACGAAAGTAGATTGACCAACCTTCCTTCCGAGGAGTGGCTGGTGGGTTTGAACCTCCAGCCTTCTGGTTAACAGTGTAATGCCTTAGTAGCTCTGTATACTATATTTTGAAATCTGGAAGTGGGTTTTCCTACTTTGTTCTTTTTCAAGATTGCTTTGGCTATTTAGAGCCCCTTAACAGTTCCAGAGGAACTATGGTGGTATAGTGGTTAAGGTGTTTGGCTGTTAAACAGAAAGTTGGTGGTTTGAACCTACCATCTGCTTTGCAAAAGAAGGATGAGACAGTCTTCTTCCGTAAAGATTTACATCCTTGGAAACGCAGTGGGGGTCGCTGAGAGTGGGAATTGATTCAATGGCATTGAGTGTGGTTTGGTTTTTTTGGTTACAATTCCAAATAAATTTGAGGATTGGCTTTTTGATTTCTGCAGAGAAGATTTTTGGAATTTTGATAAGAATTTTGTTGAAGTTATAGTTCACTTTGAGTACTATTGATATCTTAACAACATTGCTTTCTAATCTGTGAACTCAGAATGTCTTTCTGTTTATTCAGGTTTTTAATTTCTTTCAGCAGTGCTTCAGTTTTCATGTACAAGTCTTTCACCTCCCTGGCTATATTTATTCTAGATATTCTATCCTTCACATTCTATTATGGTGGAATCATTTTCTTAATTTCCTTTTGTAAGAATGGAGTGGGGGTGGTGTCTGACCTCCTAACTTCATAAAGGAAGGAGGAGGATCAAAATCAACAGCGCAAGGTTGATTCTTATATGGCAGAGGTCAAACATGCCTCTGCCCTCAAACCTTTTTTAAGCAATTCTGACACCATCTGTCCCTCCACTGGCACTTTCTACTTCTCTCTTGGGTTGATAATTTGTTGCAGTGGCCACACCAATACTCAAAATTAGGAGTTTTAGTAGGGAAGTAACAGGTTACAATTCAGGATCAGAAATGGCTCAGGATATAGTTCTTCCATCAGGACAGACTCTTCTCAGCAGTGCCCACAGGCGCAATTCTCTCTGGCCCTCAACTCTCGGCCGTGCAACCTCTTGGCCTCTGCCCTGATTGGGAAAATTGTTAAAAAGCTCTTTAGCTCTACTGATAAGTGCCCAGAAGCACCCTCCTTTTCCAGTAAGCCTTGGCCTATAGGTGCTCAACTTTCTTCCTCTGTGGGTTCAGCAAACCTAGCTCTACCAAGAGCCCAGAGGCAACCCACTCCACTAGCAAGCCTCTTGTCCAAAGGTACTCAACTTTCTTGTTTCAGTCTTGTGCTGATCTCTTGGTTCTGCTGTTGCCGTTTCTCTGCCACTGCTTCTCGCTGTCTCTGAAAGGTGTTACAGCTCTTTCTCTGTCTCCTGGATCAAGGAGGTTCTCAGCACAGGGATCTTCAGTCCAAAGGATGTGCTCTACTCCTGACTCTTCTTTCTTGGTGGTTGTGAGATTCCCCCTTTTCTTGCCTCTGGGATGGCTCATTTTAAGCCTAGTGAATGGCAAAACTGACCCATGTTAGGGTTTCATACACCTTATTTACATGGTCTCACCCCTCACATAGGTGCCATGCACCTTATTTACGTTACTAGAAAGCTGTCCCATCTCCTTGATTGTCCATAAGCACTTCACATTTGCACTGTCATAGTGGGTGTTACAGAGAATATGGTTAGAAGGGCCATATTAAGTATTTCACTGTACCATGGGCCACTCCTTGGCTCTTCTAGCCACTGGCTTTTTCATGCTTGAAGGATTAATTTCCCCTTCCAGGTCATTTTACGAATTCAAAACTGTCGTCAACAATTAGTCCCTCCATAGGGTAAAAAGCCTTCAGGGTGAGGTTACTCAGGTACTAGCCATTCAGGTCTTCTGCAGGTATCCATCTGATCTGGTCAGGTTCTCCAAAAGTCATCTTGGCTTCATCCCTTTGGCCTCTGATAAAATTTAACTGAGAGAAATTATTCCCTTGCTCTGAGCCTC